GGGTTTCACCGTGTTAGCCAGGATGGTCTCGATCTCCTGACCTCGTGATCCGCCCGTCTCGGCCTCCCAAAGTGCTTGGATTACAGACTTGAGCCACCGCGCCCGGCCTTTGTTTGTTTTTAATAAATTCTATTTTGAAAAATCTGAACCTTACAGAAAAGTTGCAAATATGGTTCAAATAACTTTTTTTTTTCTGAATTATTTGAGAGTAAATTGCTGACTTCATACCCCTCACTGGGTAAATACTTTAGTGTATATTTCTTCCAAATAAGGACATTCTCCTTTACAACCAAAACACAGCCATTAAAATCAGGAAACTGACAAATACGGTAGGAGAAAACTAGAATAAAACCTGGGGTGTTTAACTGGAATTGGGGCTATGGGTGTGAACTCATGATTTCCCATATGCAGTGAGATAGAAATAAATGTAGATATAAATGTGTGTGTGCACATGTGCGTTCCCCAGCTCTGTCCCCTGAGAACACCTATAAGCAGTGACATCCTAATAGCAGTGAGCACATCTAGGAACCAGGTCTTGGCTTTTGAATACCATTTTTCATAAAAGGAATGAGAGCTCCTTGGAGAAATGGCTGATTCCACGGCTGGATCAAGACAAGTATAAGGTGAGCCCAGAATCTTTCTTTAAGATTATGATGATGTTTTGAAGCTATTACTAGTTCATTCAGTTCTTCACCAGTATTAAAATTATTTTTCTCGGCACTTTGGGAAGCCGAGGTGGGAGGATCGCTTGAGTCCAAGAATTTGAGACCAGCCCGGGCAACACAACAAGACCCCGTCTCTTTAAAAAATATAAAATAAATAAGATACACTGTTTTTTAAAAATAACAACACTTAACCGTAAACTTAGTGTTTACTATGTGTTAGGCACTTTTTGACATGATTTTGATTAATCCTTACAATAACTTTAAGAAGTAGATTATCCTACCTTATATGTAAGAAAACTGAGGCTTACCAGTAACTTGACCTAGTATAGTTGACCCATCTTGGGTTCGTCACCTGCCTCACACTGACTTCCCTTTCCCAACTGTGTACCCCATCCTCCGGCGCCCCTGGCAGCCTACCCTGTACCATGTAACTGTATCCTGTAGCCTTAGCTGGTTGGCCAGCGAAGGAATTTTTTTTTTTTTTTTTTTTTGAGGCGGAGTTTTGTTCTCGTTGCTCAGGCTGGAGTGCAGTGGCAAAATCTTGGCTTACTGCAACCTCCACCTTTTGGGTTCAAGTGATTCTCCTGTCTCAGTCCCCCGAGTAGTTGCGATTACGGGCACCTGCCACCACGCCTGGCTAATGTTTGTATTTTTAGTAGAGACGGGGTTTCATCATGTTGGCCAGGCTGGTCTCGAACTCCTGGCCTCAGGTGATCCACCCGCTTCAGCCTCCCAGAGTGCTTGGGAATACAGGTGTGAGCCACTGCACCTGGCCCAACCAAGGAATTTGATACTTGAACCAAGCTGGGTCAGTCTTGAGACAGACGAAGGTGTAAGACTTAAAACTAGAAGCCGGGCACAGTGGCTCACGCCTGTAATCCCAGCATTTTGGGAGGCCGAAGAGGGTGGATCACCTGAGGTCAGGAGTTCAAGACCAGCCTGACCAACATGGTGAAACCCCATCTCTACTAAAAATACACAATTAGCCAGGGGTGGTGGTGCATGCCTGTAATCCCAGCTGTAATCTCAGCTACTCAGGAGGCTGAGGCAGGAGAATCACTTGAACCCAGGAGACGAATGTTGTGGTGAGCTGAGATTGTTCCATTGCACTTCAGCCTTGGCAACAAAAGCGAAACTCCATCTCAAAAAAAAAAAAAAAAATTTAAAGAACGAAAGAGAGACACAAAGAAATCATTGAGGTTGAGAAAGGTTAGTAGCAACACTCTGGAAAAAAGGCTGCTGACTCCTACTGCTGAGGCATGGTTGTCAACCCTTCCATGTGATCTGTAATAGTTGGTTTTATGTGTTAACTTGACTGGGCTATGAGATAGCTGGTAAAACATTATTTCTGGCTGTGTCTGTGAGAGTGTTTCCAGAAGAGATTAGCATTTGAATTGGCAGACTAAGAAAGATCGCCCTCACCAATGCAGGTAGGCACAATCAAATCTGCTGAGGGCCTGAATGGAATAAAAAAGCAGGGAAGGGCATATTTTCTTGCTGTCTGAGCTGAGACATCTAGGTTTGCCTGCTCTTGGGTATCTGTGCTCCTGGTTCTTGGACCTTCTGACTGAGACCAGATCTTATATCCTACCTATCCCCTTCACCTCCCACCCCCACTCCCTAGTTCTCCAGCTTTGGGGTTTGGACTGGAATTGCACCACTGGCTTTCTTGGGCTTCCAGCTTACAGATGGCAGACCATGAGATTCCTCAGCCTTCATAATTGTGCGAGCCAATCCCTCCTGGTAAATCTCTCTCTTTCTCTTTCTCTATGTATGTATGTATGTATGTATGTATGTATCTATCTATCTATCTATCTATCTATCTATCTATCTATCTATCTCTATCTCTATATATCTCTATATCTATTTATATATATCTCCATCCTATGGATTCTGTTTTTCTGAAGAACCCTGACTAATATATTCTAATAAATTCCCCCTTTTTGGCTTAAGTTTGCCAGAATTCATTTCTATTGTTAGTAATCAAAGTAGCCTTAATGAATAAGCAAGAATCATACATGGTAGAGATGAGATTTGAACTTTGGACCCCAAAGTCCTGTTCTTTTTCAGTATACTACACCATCACTCCTGGGAACCATTTATTCACACTAACAAATATACATAGCCAATATTCACAGCTCTCTATTCTAACAAAGCTTTTAATGGGATAATTCCAGCCCCAAATCAGTGTGGTCATCTTGCTGGAGAGATCATTTGAAGAAGCCACTGGGAGAGTGAGCCCTGTGGTGACACAGAGAGGTCCAGCTATCCCAGTATCCCAGATGAGATGTTCCTGCCATGATGGCAGACATGTGAGTGAAGCCATCTTGAATGTTTCTGCCCCAGGTGCCATCTCACCGTGAACACCTGACAAGCAAGACCAGCAGAAGAACCATCCCGCTAAGCCCCAGGCAACTCACAGAATTACAAGAAATAAGATTGCTGTTGTTTTAAACCACTACGTTTTGGGATGATTTGTTTTGTAGCAAAAGATAACTAAAATTGATGGCTTCTTTGGAAAGGTGGCATGTGAGATGAGAACTAAAAGACTGAGGGGAGGGGGCGCTGGGGGATGGCAAATCAAGGCAGAGGTGTCAGGAAGGAGCTTGGTACATTTGAGGAGCTGAAAAGGCCAGTGTGGCTCCAGCGTAGAGCAGTGAGGAGGGTGGTACCAGATGAGGGGAGAGAGATTATGCAGGACCCTGTGCATCTCAGAAGGAGCCTGGACTTTATCTAACTGCAACAGACACCATTGAAGGAATTTTTGTTTTTAAATTTTTTATAGAGACGAAGTCTCACTATGTTGCCCAGGCTGGTCTTGAGCTCCTGGACTCAAATGATCCTCCCATCTCAGCCTTCCAAAGTGCTGGATTACAGATATGAGCCACCACGCCCAGCCCATTGAAGGGTTTTAAGCAGGGGAATGACATGGTCAGATGCTGAGTTTTCAGGTGTCTCTCTGGCTGCTGGGTGGGAGGATGGCAGGTAACATGGAAGCAGGAAGAGTAGTTAGAGGGCATTTGTAATAGTCCCATGAGAGATGATGGCAGCTTCAATGAGGGTGGTGGATATGACGGTGGAGAGGAATAGAGGAGCTCAATGAATATTTTGGAGGTGGAATAAACAGAACTTGGTGATGGATTGGATGTGAGGTGTGAATGAGAAGGAAATGCCAGGAATGACACCCAGATTCCTGACTTGACAACTGGGTGGAGGCTGGTGCCATTTACTGAGATGGGGAAAATGGTGGGAGGATAAGATTTGGGTTAGGGGGTCCAGATCAAGAGTTCACTTTTACACATATGAAGTTGGAGATGTCAGGGAGACAGCAAGTGGAGATGTGAGTAGGCAGCTGAATACCCAAGCTCTCATTTTAGAAAAGTGATCTGGGCTAGGCATATACACTTGAGAGTCATCAGCCTAAAGATGTTATTTAAAGCCATGAGAAGAAATGAGATTGCCTAGAGAGAGAGGAAGAAAAGAGTCTCCGCTAACATTAATGCCTCTGCTAACATTTGCCTGGCAAATCCTGAACATCATAGAACTTCCCTTAAGAGCCACAGGAAGCAAGTTCAAGGTGCTTCTACCTAACAGCTCTTTGGATATTTGATGACAAGGGGTAGTGTCCACCTCTAGATTACGCCTTCCAAGTTCCCTCTGTCTTTCCTTGTAAGGCATAATTTAAAGTTCTTCACCATATGGGTCATTTTCCTCTTAAAGTTCCTTTTTTGAACTGAGTGTAATGCTCCAGCCCCAGGTAGAAAGGGACCAGCTGAGCCATTTATCACTATCCCCATTTGGTGATAAATAGTAAACAGGGGGCAGCATCAGAACAGTGAGGACAGATGAGTCCTGCTCAGTTGTTGCTAAGAGATTTTTCTTTTTTTTTTTTTTTTTTTTTTGAGATGGAGTCTGGCTCTGTCGCCCAGGCTGGAGTGCAGTGGCTGGATCTCAGCCCACTGCAAGCTCCGCCTCCCGGGTTTACGCCATTCTCCTGCCTCAGCCTCCCAAGTAGCTGGGACTACAGGCGCCCGCCACCTCGCCCGGCTAGTTTTTTTTGTATTTTTTTTAGTAGAGACGGGGTTTCCCATGTTCGCCAGGATGGTCTCGATCTCCTGACCTCGTGATCCACCCGTCTCGGCCTCCCAAAGTGCTGGGATTACAGGCTTGAGCCACCGCGCCCGGCCGCTAAGAGATTTTTCATTGCTTTTCCCATCCGTAGGAAAGGGCTAAGGATTTCAGAGAAAGCCTCATAAACAATTGAATGAGCTCAGGCACTCTGTTACTGCCTGACAGCCTCAGTGGCAGAGACTTAGATTGTTTCTCAGGGGAAAAAATAAATAGTGTAAAACTTTCAAGATGCGCCTGTCAAAGGGCTGCTTGTCTGCTTTACGGTGAGATCTCAAGATGGATGATTTGGGAACAGCCGAAACCTATAAACACAGAGCAGAAAAGTTCTCCATCTTTTGCTCATTTATTCCACGAACTTTTTCATTGCTGAGATGCCACGGCCTAAATAAATACGCAAGCTATGCCATTGTTCCGCTCTGAGTCCCAGTTGGAATAGGAGACCTACATTCTTCATTAATGCTGTTCAGATTCACAGGATGAATGCTCTGCTTTGGTTACTGCACATGGTGCCCAGAAATCTAAGGAACAAAAAATCATATGTGTGTCTCATGTGCGCATTCACACACACACACACACACACACACACACCCCCCATGTACATATCCTAAGCCTTCCGGATGTGGAGTTTGAAAAGATGTGCTCAATATTACCCTGGCAAGAAAGGGTTCTTCATTTCTCACCTCCTTCTTTCCTTTCTCCCTGGAGTGGGTGAAGTATTTGCCAACGTAGAGACTTGGTCTGCATAACAACGCAGAGATTCACCCGGAGAGGCCCTCAGTGTTACTGAGACCCAGGTAGGTGCTCCCACTCTGAACTCTGAAGAGGGAGGGAGCACAGAGAGAGAACGGAGCCCCATGAGATGATCTGGTGTCTGTTGTGTCAAAGGCCTGGCCTTTCTTCTGGCGCTAGGGAGGGAGTGTGTATCACCATTCTAGAGCAGCGATTCTCAAAACGTGGTTCCCCCAGGCATCCCAGACCTCCTGAATGAGAAACTCCGGAGGTAGGGCCCAGCAAGCTGTCTTTTAAGAAGCCTGGAGGTGATTCTGATGCAGGCTTACGCTAGAGTCTACCAGTACGACTTTCTTTCTAGCAATACACTCTACCTTTATACTCTTTCAAGTATTGTGTGCATATAATTTTATATTTGGAAGATAAGGAGAAAACCTTATTTTTGTAACACAAACTGCAGGATATTTGGGGAAGATATGAAGAGAGGAGAAAGTGGCATATTAAAATCTCAGAGATAGACTTTTGTGTTCACCAAAGTGGGGCAAGGGTTAAAAAAGATTTCAAAACACTGATTTAGAGAAAAGAAAGGTCTCTCTGAGGCAGGAGACTTAGGTCATGGGGGGCTCATGCAGCAGGATGATGGGGTTCAGAACAGACTATTCCAAATATGGCACTTTGGCATTGGAGGAAGCAGCAGAAACAAGAAGGCATCTCTGACCCTCTTCCTCCTAAAGCAGGCCATAAAAAAATTCCTTGATCTTGTTTTGAAGTAGGTGATAAGATCTTTGCATGAGGTGCCCGTTCTATACCAACAAGAAAAGAATGTTCTTATCTCAGGGACACAGAGAAGATTTTGAACAGGCCTTGCTAAGTTCCCGCCAGTTTATTATCATTGGAATAGTAATAAATAGTGTATTACCTGCTTTGTCCACGTCTGCACGACTGTTCACTCTTTATCAAACCTAAGCATAAAAACACACAGGTTTTCCTGTTTCTTGAGGTCTTCATTTCTGAAGGCTCCCGTGTCATGTCAAACCTAGATATTAAAGAAATGTGTATGCTTTTTTCTTGTTAATCTGTCTTTTACTATGGGTGCCTCAGCCATAAACCTGGTGATGGGTGAGGGAGAGAAATCTTTCCTCCCCAACAAGGGCCCGTGAGAGAAGATCAGGAGCTCACCATGCCCCATGAAGCCAGGGTTGGAACAGGCTTTTCTGAAAGTCTGTTGGTTTCCCAGCAGACCTCCTGAGAGAGTAGTGTGTGCATGTGGATGTGTGTATGCACCTGTGTGTGTGCCGGTGGGGGCTGGGCAGGAGGAGAACAGGCGGCCATGGGGAACATTTCTCTCACACCACCCCTACCACAAGCTCCCAGTATCTGGCTCTCAGCCTGGGGGAGAGCTGGTCTGCAATAAACCAGAGACTTTACAATGTAAAGGAAGTTGATTTCTAGTTTCCAGGGACCCCCAAGGTCCTTCCTGTGTGGCCTCCTCATTTGCAGTGGGTCTCAAATTCAGTAGAGCCCACCCCCAAGAGATTCTGATTACATTGGCTTGCTGTAGGGCCAAGAAATAGGCTTTTTTTTTTTTTTTTTTAGACAGAATCTCTCTCTGTCCCCCAGGCTGGAGTGCAGTGGTATGATCTTGGCTCACTGAAACCCTCTGCCTCCCGGGTTCAAACAATTCTCTTGTCTCAGCCTCCTGAGTAGCTGGGGCTACAGGTTCACACCACGACACCCAGCTAATTTTCGTATTTTTAGTAGAGATGGGGTTTCACCATATTGGCCAGGCCAGTCTCAGTCTCTTGGCCTTGTGATCCACCTGCCTCAGCCTCCCAAAGTGCTGGGATTACAGGTGTGAGCCACCGCACCCAGCCAAAATCTGCATTTTAAACAAGACTCTTCCTTCCAAGTAATTCTAATACAGAAGCTTCATGGACTACAGCAAGGATATCAAGGCAGTTTTAGTTTTGGTGATGGTGATGCTTGGGAGGAGGGGGGGCGTGACACTGAGGAGTAGGGAAGGGAATGTTCTTGGTCATTGGAGCCCCTGAAGGGTCTCTTCTTCCAAATTCAACCAGTGACTAAGAAGCAGCAGTGAGGTAGAAGGGCAGCCTCGTTGAGAAGTGTCCACTGGACAGGGAGAAGCATTAGTTTGGGCAGAAAATGTCAGGTAGCTAGTTGATACTGGGGACCCTTGCAGGTCATCTGGTCAACCTGGTTGTCAAAGGCATGCTACCTGTTCTTTCTAGAAGGGAGACCTCACAAGGCCACACAGCTACTTCCACTGGTTGAGAAAGAAGCTTGAGAGAGTCTGTAGGGC